AGCTTTGTCATTTGCTAGATATTGTAAGATTGGATCTAAAAAGTCTACTAATTCGAAAAGCTTAGATTGCATTTTTTTTTCATTACCTGGGAATATATATTTAGTATCTAATGTTTTTCGTCATCAAAAAATTTATCTTTTTTTCTTGCATCTAGTATGGGTTTCATGACGACCAACCATATCACTACAACTATCAAAAAAGCAAGAATCGCATACATAAACATAGGCGAAAACAAATTACCTGCTACAATTGGCACTACTTCACCCCCACGGACAGGTAAAATTTCTGATATGGCCCCTCCCGAAAAATTTATCATCTCTGACGCTTGTGAGGCATTGGTGGGAAACTCCACGTTAGTTGATTCTGAAATATTAGCCTTGATTATAGTATCACTAGACTTGGGAGTATCAATTTTTTCTGTCTGATCCATATTATTTCTACGTTTTAAAAACTTACTAAAATTTAGCTTAGGTTTATCAACTGCAGAGATAACATCGGAATTCGCTATATTTTTTATTGTGGGGGCAATGGTACTCTGTCCCTCATCACCTCCACCAATTATAGGTGAATCAGAGGTTCGAAGCTTTGCTTCTCCCGATGGCAACTTTACCTGATTAGATAAGTTTCGAGATATAGTCACCAATTTCAGATGCTCCAGTTCACTGACTTTAGAAATTAAATCCTTCTTATTTCGTTCCAATTCAGCTAAATTAGATTTGAGGGATGAGATTTCGGATTCTTTTTTTGATGATTCCTTCTGGAATAAATCCAGCTCACCTTTCAATGACTTTATTTTTCCCTGAAGCATTTTTATTTCATTTATTTTTGCAGTAATTTTGACCTTAAAATTGGCAAGAGAAAGATTTTTCCGAGCATTTTGAGAGATGAGGTTAGTATTTTCACTTCGTAACTGCTTAGCTATATCAGCAATTCCCAAAGCTTGATCATGCAATTTCCCGGTCAAAACCTTTTACCCGACTGGAACATTCATCCTGCAATGATTTATTGCAATCTTTTAAATTGGAAATAATTTTTGTGGCATAGCGTAGTTCTTCATCTATCACATTCATGTAGTGTGGAAAAAAGAATAAATATTAATATGAGTGCAAGTTCCTCTTTCCGAAAATATATATAATTTTTATCTTTCCGATATATTCTATATATTCTATATTTTTGATATAATCTATATTTCCGACATATTATATAATCCATTTTTTGGCACAGACATACTACTGGTTCACGTCAAATATTCCTCTTTCTGTTATATACATATTCACTATATTTTTGATATAATCAACTTATTCTATATTTTCGATATAATCAAATTTTCCAACTTATTCTATATTTTCAATATAATCTATTTTTCCGATATATTCTACATACTACAAAAAAATATATATCTCATTGCTATGGTTAGAGTGCGTATAAAATCTGATGCACCTTTATTTTCAGCTGAAGATTATTCCTATATTATGGAATGTCGTAATATGGGACCAAAGAATAAAATTTTGGATGACTTGATGGATAAGTATAAAACATCATCAAGACGTATTTATCAGATTTGGAGAGGTGAAGAAACTAAAAGAGTTGCTTGGGATCAACCCATACCTCAATTCTATAATGAAAATGATTTGAATCAAGATAGTTGCGAAACTATTATGAGTAAGAATACTCCTCATATAAAATCTCAGCAGGAAGAAGTAAAGATTCGGAATCAGAGCTTCATTTCTCCCGAAATAGTTTCTAATTCTCATATTGATACATACCAAAATAAAGCCTCTCAAAGGGAGGGTGTCCATGCATCTAGAAAAAGAAGACCGAAATCAAAACCTACTCAAATATCTTCTCCCCTTATTTCTGAAAATATAGATCATATAAATTCAACAGAATCTCGGAGTGATATTTCTTCTGCATATATTTCAGATGTGCACGAATCATTTAGAAGAGAAGTAGAAGGTGCTGAAAAAATATTATTAAAAGCTGGACATAAAAAACCACCTACCTTGTGATATATATAAGAAGACAGGACTTAAGATCGGCTATAACTTCGCTTGCAACCCATATTTCTTTCTCGTACCTCTTGCAATTCACACATTTTTTTTTAACTCAGTATTTGTCTCTTCAGAAATAGATGGAATTGCATTAACATGATGTACCTCAATCTTATTTTCAACCTTGTGCATCGTAACTGGAATGTAAAAATCTTTTCCATTGCAATGAAGCTTCATTTCGGATTTAGGCCAATTCATTATACATTCATGTTTTTCAAGGAAGGGATTACTCAATATAACCATAGACTTGTCATATTCAATGACTGCAAAATCTAAATGAAATACACAACCAGGAGCTAGGGTTAATGGTACGTTATAAACCATTCCAATAGATTTGGTTAGGACAGTGGCCGCCCCCTTGAAATA